CTTGATCAAGATAACGTGAGACGTTACCTTTACACACACACACACAAAAAAAAACCAACAACAACAAAACAAAAAAGCTGTTGCTGTAGATCAACCTATATGGTACACCTTAATCGACTAAGATTTCTGTAGCAATTGTTAGATAAAAATTATATGAAAAGTGAAATGTGAAATTCTCTCAATTTCCATTAATCTCAATGTCCCATTATATAGGGAGATTTAGAGTACTACAAGCCAAGGATTTTAGGTATTTACTGAATTAATATGCCATAAGACAACAGAAGTATGCCAGAAGTGAACAAAATCTTGTATTGACATCTTCAACTGTCACAGCCCTTGTACATGTTATTTTAAAAGAGAAGGCAACCGTAGATATAAGCCGTATTGTCATTATTTGACTGTATATAGAAATTTGGGATAATTTGATCCATGCCATTACAAATATGGCATATTAGAAAAATATCATTACAATTTACGTTATTGGTTGGATGCCATTGAAAATTTGTAAAATTAGAACCATGCCACTACCGTCACTATTTCCATCTCCTCTCTCACATCGTCAGCCTCTCTTGTTTCTTCTCTTGCTTTCTTATCTCTTCTCTCTCGTTCTTTTTTCTCTCTCGACAAAGCGGCAAGGGCGGGCTGGCAATGGCGGGGTGCGGCGCACGGCGCGCGGCGAGGGAAGCGCTGGCGCAGCTGGCGGTAGGTCAGCTCGGCCAAGGGCAAGAAGAGGATGTGCTGGGCAGGGAGAAGGAGGGGAAAGACGGAGAAAGGAAGAAAAAGAAGAAGGGGAGGAGAACCTCGACGGCATGCAGCGCCGAGAGGCTGAGCCATGTCAAGAGCTCAACTCGCACCTCCTCGTCTCGTCCGGCTCCGTGGTGGAGGAGATCACGAATGGCGGCGGCGGTGGCGGTGACCTCGAGCCCGCCAAGGCCGAGCACTTCTCCGCGCTTGTCGTGGTCATCGTGGGAGGCGGACGAGCTGGAGGAGGCGGCGACCGCGCCGAGGCCGAGCACTTCACGCCGTCGTCGACCTGCATCGCCTCGCGCTGCCATCGCCACAAGCGTCGAGGCCGTCGTGCTTGCTCCAGGGCGCCGCCCACGCTCTGTCCGCGCCGAGGTTGTCGCCATCGCGCCCAGGCCGCCGCCCGCCGAGCCCGCTGAGCCCACTGCCATCGCACCCAGGCCACCACCTGCCGAGTCCGTGCCGAAGCCGCCGCCCGCTGTCGCGGCTCGCCTTCTCCCCGCCCGCGCACAGCGGGGTGATGGTGAGGATGGTGACGTGGGAGAGGAGGACGGAGAGAGTGATGGTTCCAATTTTATAAATTTTCAGTGGCATCCAACCACTAACGTGAATTGCAATAATATTTTTCTAATATGTCATATTTGTAATGGTATGGATCAAATTAACTCTAGAAATATACTAGTTGATGCCCCAATGGTTTTCTTACTGATAAATTATTCTAGGTTAAGTTTACAAGTAACCTAAAGTTTATTATCGGTCAAATTATTATAAGTAAACTAAATATATATAATTCCATAGCACCAAGGAACTTCAACCGCTCACTAGAAGGTTGGTTGCGTGAGAGGTTGAAACACAAATCGTTGTAAAAGGGTAATGTCACCTGGAATGCCTCCACAGTTCCACTCAAATTCCAAAATTATTACGCCATGTCTTGCAGCATTGCCTTTTGCTTGCGTAATTAGGGTAGTTTCAGACCCTAAAACTCAGTTTCACCTAGAATTATACGAACAACACACACAAGTTCAGTATTAGTGTTCTGCATCGGGAAGGGTCGAAGGGATGATGCTGGTGCTACTGAGAAATGGGTGCAGCCAAGACAGGTTTGTCCCATTGGGAGAACAGCTTACAGAGCTCATTGGGGATGGACCGGGCGACCACAAATAACTGTATGTTTTGGCAGTCAAGAATGGAGCTGCATACTTGATGATGACATTGTTGGTTTCCCTCGATAATGATGATGACGAAACCTGTCAGGGATTTTGTGGTGCATGTCGTGCTTTTAGGGTCTGTAACTCAGAGAAGCAAAATGACTCTTCACCAGCGCAATATTGCAAATTGTCATTGGATACGAAGGTTTTTCTCTCTTCAGAAAAGGGATATTCCATCCAGAAAGAGAAGCAAATCTAGTGCAATACTATCGAGTGATAAAGCCAAATAATCCAGTGCAATAAGTCCTAGCTGGTTGGGGGCATGCATTATTGCTGTTACAAAAGGCCATTATTTGGCCATTATTTGATCTCATCAAAAGCAGCTATCAAAGAGGATTTGAATCTTGTAACAGTCATGTTTAAAGGCATAAATCATCCTTATTGCTATATATTAATGTAATTCACTAAATGCCTAGAATCCTAGGCTTGTAATACTCTAAATCTCCCTATATAATGGGGCATTGAGATCAATGGAAATTAAGAGAATTTCACATTTCTCTGTTCATATACTTGTTATCTAACACGCCATCAGCACGCTCTAACCGAGCAAGAACGGTGAAGAACTCACCGGCACCATGAAGGGTAAGATGGCTCGCCCCATTTCTCTCGATGTCGGATCTTCTCTTCCTCTCAATCTTCGTGCGGACCATCTTCGTCGCCTCATGCAGCAGCTTGACAAGCTTCTCCAGGCTCCAGCGCGTCGTTCTCGACGTGGTAGGGGCCGTTGTGCTGGCATATATCCATCGCCTTCGCTGGAGCATGGTACCTCTGAGGAGGAACTCTGGCGACGGTGCAGCCAGCGTAGGGCTGTACAGCGGTGTCGCTGGTGAGTGCTCCGACGAAGGCAATGGAGATATGGCACGGCAAGTGTGGTTCGTCTAGCCGTGGTGAGGACAAAATGAAGTCACCACCTTTGGCACCTCCTGCGGCAGTCAGTCGAACTGCAGTCGCACTCTTGCCGTCCATCCATGGGACTTGTAGTGGTGCGGCGACTCCACCAGAATGCATTCTAGCGCGGTGCAGGTGTCAAGAATTATTGAAGGCCCGCGGCGAATCGCGAGGGTGCTCAAGTCAGCGCTCCCAGCTCTGGTGGTTCTGCAGGCAGTGGCGCCGTCGTTGTGACGTCGTCCTCCTCGTTTGGCGAAGCCAGAGGGAGGAGACTAGGGGCCACGGCCGGCAATGCCAGCACCACAGCCCCTGCCGCGTGAGAATGGCGCGCCAGAGCCCGGAGAAGCTTATCGAGCTGCTACATGAGGCGACGGAGATGACGAGCACGAAGATTGAGAGGAAAAGAAGATCCGACATCGAGAGGAATGGGGCAAGCCATCTTACCCTTCACGGTGCCAGTGAGTTCTTCACCGTTCTTGCTCGGTTAGAGCATGCTGATGGCATGTTAGATAACAAGTATATGAACAGAGAAATGTGAAATTCTCTCAATTTCCATTGATCTCAATGTCCCATTATATGGGGAGATTTAGAGTATTACAAGTCTAGGATTCTAGGCATTTATTAAGTTACATCAATATAGCAATAAGGATGATTTATGCCTTTAAATATGGCTGTTACAAGATTCAAATCCTCTTTGATGGCTGCTTTTGATGAGATCAAATAATGGCCTTTTGTAACAGCAATAATGCATGCCCCCAAACAGCTAGGACATTGAGGGCTTTATCACTCGGCAGTATTGCACTGGATTTGCTTCTCTTTCTAGCTGGAAGATCCCTTTTCTGAAGAGAAAAACCTTCATATCGGGTGACAAAATTTGTAGTATTGCACAGGTGAAGAGTAATTTTTTGCTTCTCTGAGTTTTAGACCCTAAAAGCACGATATGCACCCGAAGTTAAAATCCAAAATTCCTGACGGGTTTCTTCATCATCATCATCGAGGGAAACCAACAATGTCATCATCAAGTATGCAGCTCCATCCTTGACTGCCAAAACATACAGTTAATTGTGGTCGCCCGGTCCATCCCCAATGAGCTTTGTAAGCTGTTCTCCCAGAGGGACTTACCTGTCTTGGCTGCACCCATTTCTCAGCAGCACCAGCATCATCCCTTCGACCCTTCTCGAAGCAGAACACTAATACTGAACTTGTCTGTGTTGTTCGTATGATTCTAGGTGAAACTGAGTTTTAGGGTCTGAAACTACCCTAATTACGCAAGCAAAAGGCAATGCTGCAAGACATGGCGTAATAATTTTGGAATTTGAGTGGAACTATAGAGGTATTCCAAGTGACATTGCCCTTTTGCAACGATTTGTGTTTCAACCTCTCACACAACCAACCTTCTAGTGAATGATGAAGTTCCTTGGTGCTATGGAATTATATATATTTAGGTTACTTAGAATAATTTGAGCGATAATAAATTTTAGGTTACTTGTAAACTTAACCTAGAATAATTTATCAGTGAGAATACCATTGGGGCATCAACTACTATATTTCTATATACAGTCAAACAATGACAATACGGCTTATATCTACGGTTACCTTCTCTTTCAAAATAACATGTACAAGGGTTGTGACAGTTGAAGATGTCAATACAAGATTGGAAGATAAAACTGACATACATTTCAGATTTTGGGCAAGCGTCAGAAGGTTCTCTTATTGTTGTTTTGTTCACTTCTGGTATACTTCTGTTCTCTTATGGCTTATTAATTTTTCACGTGTTGGACAGGACAAGTTCTCTGAAAGATTTTATGTGTGAGTGGTTGTTACATCGTCAATTTCATTCAGAAACAGAAGCACAAATTAAGCAAGCAAAATCCTTTTGCTGCACTTTTAAGAATTACTACAACTGAACCTCTCAAAAATAAATAATGATAAGTTGATAACAGAAGCTCAAACTTTGATTTTTGACCTCTATGTCAATTGAGGCTCAGTACATCATCCATACTCTGTTTTTTGTGAAGAAGAATATGCAAGTTCGTTCAGAAAGGCTTGCAAATTAAACAAGCACTGCAAGGACCTCTATGATGTGTGTTTGAGTTCTTTCTTTCAAGTGCTTCAAAAGCAAACTTCATCATCTTGTTTGTGCATATATTAAACAGCCAGTTTCAAATACTGATAAGCACGGTAACTCCATAATAATATGGATCAAGCATTACCGGTTTTTTATTTCATAATTTGGTCAGGCATTTCCCGATCATCTATGTTGTTCCTGGATAACAATTGAGATTTTTCACTAGATAACATTGCACAATATTTACAGCAACACATAATGATACAATCAATTCAATCAAATAAGCGTATATTTGCCAGGGATTAAAAAAAAGAGAGAAGAAAACGAACAAATGCAGGAACGGAGAAGAAGTCCAAAGCTAACCAGAGGAAGAAGGAGATGAAGCATCGATCCATGTCCATGTCGCTCACAAGGCGGCGAGGCCGAGGAAATCGAGGGCGGACTTGGCCATGATGGCGGTGAACTCCTCGAAGCTGATGAGGCCGTCGCCGTCGGTGTCGGCCTCGCGCATCATGTCGGTGAGTTCGGCGTAGCAGATGGGGTGGCCCATCCGCGCCATGGAGCGCGCGAGCTCGGCGGCGGAGATGAAGCCGTTGCCGTCGCGGTCGAAGGCCCTGAAGGCCTCGGCGAGCTCCGCCTGGTCGACGGCGACGGAGGGGCGGCACGGGCCGAGGATGAGGTCGGCGAGGGAGGAGGCGAGCTCGTCGAACTCGACGGTGCCGTTGCCGTCGGCGTCGATGGCGGCGATGAGGGCGTGGATCTCGTCCCCCGCGGCCGGGCGGAGGCCGAGAGAGCGGAGGAGCGCGGCGAGCTCCAGCTTGGTGAGGCTCCCGTCGCCGTCGAGGTCGAACCGGAGGAAGATCTCGTGCAGCTGGCGCAGCTGCTCCCCGCGCAGCCGCGCGCGCCCGCGGACCGCCTCCGCCGTAGCTGGGGCCTTCCCCTTCCGCTTCCCCTCCCCCTCCTCCTTCTTCCCCTTCTCCTTCCCGTCGACGACGACGACGCCGCCGGCGTGGAGGGACATGGTTCGCGTCGCCGTCTCCGTCGCCGTCGCCGACGCCGCCGCCGCCGCGTGCGGAACGGATGGATGGGCGTGGTCTGCGCCTCGGGTTTCTTCGTGGACGCGGTCTTCGCGGGGCCTCTCCCTCTGGCTCTGCATGTTGACCGCTTTGCGTTTGCGTGGGAGTGAGACGTTCGATGGATATGCAGCCGTTGCGTTTGCGTACGACGACGTCGCGGTCGCAGTGGCTTCGCCCTCGCATCGCACACGGTATATATATATATATTTCCGAGCAGTGGGGCACCGCGGAGTAATTCTGAGCTGATTCAATCCACAAATGGATTTCTTTTAGGGAAAATTGCAAAAACAGAAAAACCATCATCCATAAAATCACTTTGACATTTCTTTTTAGTCATTTTTGTTGCAAATACCCACCCCTACTTAGTTTTGTTGTAAAAACACCTCAATGCTCATGTGTTTAACTGAATCAGCCCATTATTGTTTATGCAGAGTTACCATAGGTTATGCTATAGCCATGTTAATCTTGTTCAAGTGCTTGCATTATACTCATTTTCATATTTGATTGAACACTTTTGTGAAAATAGCGAAACTCGGTGCGACAAATCTCACAAAAAAAAGCATCTAGACTATACTCTGGAAATTTTTAATTTTGGTAAAGACGGCTCACATTTTATAAAAGTGTATTAATTTGGTTAAGCATTTGTGTACTTGGGATATTTTTATAACAAAATTGATTATGTGGATGGACATTTGAAACAAAATGACTTATATAGGGTAAAATGTCCAAGCTTCAAATGAATTATGGGGTGATTTTTACAATTTTTTTCTTTGTTTTATTGCTCGCATGCATGTTCAAAGAGAGAGTCCAACATAGCATATCTCAGCGATGCCTTATTCGGTTAATCTCTCCTCTAAGGGCCCCTTTGAATCGCAGGAATGGAAAAACGGAGGAATAGAAAAAACGTAGGATTCTGACAGGAATGCATGTGTAAAACAGAGGATTAGAAAATACAGGAAAAACACAGGAATGACCGTATGATTGAACCACAGGAAAAACGCAGGAATCGGATGAGAGATAGACTCAAATGAATTTTTTCAAAAGGTTGGACCTCTTGCTAACTTTTCTCTAAAATCTCTATAGGATTAGACATTTCATAGGAATTTTAAAGGATAGTGTAGCATTCAATCCTTTGTTTCAAAGGCTTTCATAGGAATATTTTCCATAGGATTGAAATCCTTCAAATTTCCTACACTTTTCCTACAAATCAAAGCGGCCTAAAGGATCAAGGGGATTCCTCAATTAACGCTTTTCTTATAGGATATATCGAACAATTTCTATTTAACATAGAATTATGTTTATATTATGTGTACAATAGGATTCGGAGACCTCAGGTGCTAAATAAATTTTATGATATAAATAGGATGAAATCTTTCTGGTATGCGCTTGAACGATGTGTGTATACCATGATGGGTGGTGCCATTTATACGATGTGCCCGTAACCGTAAGCTTTACAGTGGTCTAAAAGCGAAATAATTCCGAGCAATGCGTCTGCTACACAGACCTTAATATTTATAAGTGACTGCACTCGAATACCTGACATTTGGATAGCATCTACGAAGAACGGGATGTCAGATTGTGAGGTTTTTCCCGGTATGCCATTAAAAAAAGATGGTGTCTGCCTCTGTGCCACTAAAAAGTTCGAGCCTCCCTCTGTGACATCGTCGAATTTTATCGCGCCCTCCGCATCATTCCGTCCGTTTTTATCCTAACGGTGGATAACGGCTGCGCCAAATGACTTAATTGCCCTTAGGCCTCCTAGCACTCTCCTCTCTCCCTCAGATGCAGCAGCAGCAAAGAAGCGGGAGGGGAGTCGCCGGCGATGCCGCTGCGGTCGGCGAGGCGAAGGGTGACAACGGCGGCCGTGGTGCTGAGCCACCACATCTCTCGCATCCTCGCCGCGTCGGCCTTGTGCCGCCGCCACCGGTGGCCGGCGTTAGTGCGCGGCTGTGCCACCACAGACGACGACGGGGCGCTGCGACGACGGCGGCGGCGGCATCGCTGCTCGATGAAGATGTCGGCAACAACGCTGCGACGACGACGACGACAACGACCGGGCCGAGGCGACGGCGGCGCCGGTCGGCCCTACGCGGCGGAAGGAGGCCGGGGCGTCGAGGAGGATGGGGGAAGGACTACGCCCGCGTCGCCGCCGTCTCCGGCAACGCACAGCAGCACGGCAGCGTCTACTGGAAGCACGTCGCGGCGGCGGTGCTCGCCTCCCTCGACCTGGCCAGGACCTAGCGCCATAGCTCACCGCCACACTCGCCACGACGGAGTCGCCAGTGTGGATGGACAACAGCACGGCGGCACAGTGCTGGGAGGTGGAGGATGTCGCTCGTGAGCTCGTTCATGGCGTCGCTGCTGGTTGGCGGCTACGCCTACATCGACAAGACCGACGGCGCTTGGATGAACTTGAAGACGGACAGGGCGCTGCGACAACGACGAGCGCCGATTGGAGGGGTGGCCGGTGGGGTTGCCGGCGGCCCTGGGCGAGTCGGAGGCGGCGCCGGAGTCGAATCCGGCGACGGAGGCGGGGGCGACCGCGGAGGGAGGCGCGGTGGCGGCGTCTTGGACGGGGACGGCGACGACCCGTGCCCGCGGGCCACCTCCGCCGACGCGTCGGAGCCCTCGGAGGCCGATCCCGCCGCTACCGACGCGTCGGAGCCCTCGGAGGCCGATCCCGCCGCTACCGACGCGTCGGAGCCCTCGGAGGCCGATCCCGCCCCGCGGGCCACCTCCGCCGACGCGTCGGAGCCCTCGGAGGCCGATCCCGCCGCTACCGACGCGTCGGAGCCCTCGGAGGCCGATCCCGCCGCTACCGACGCGTCGGAGCCCTCGGAGGCCGATCCCGCCCCGCGGGCCACCTCCGCCGACGCGTCGGAGCCCTCGGAGGCCGATCCCGCCGCTACCGCCGCGTCGGCCTCCTCGGCGGGGCGCTTCGATGCCATGCGGTGCAGGGAGGGGAGGGGGAGCAGGTCGCCGCCGTCGTCGAACCTGCACCCAGCCGCCGCGCAGCACCAGTCGCCGGCCACGCCGCGCCACCGCCTGTCTGCCACGCGCCGCGCCGCTAAGCGCCGCCTTGGCTGTCCGCCGACGCCGCTTAGCCCACTCGCCGTCGGCGCCGCCTGGCTACCTCTCTCTCTCTGGTGAAAAGGAAGAAAAAAAAGAGGGGAACGAAGCAGAGACTAAAAGGGCAAGAAGGACATTTTTCCTACCCAGCCCCACATGTCAGAGCTCCCAAACAGTTAAAGCCAAACAGAATAGCGACGGAATGGTATGGAGGGCACGATAAAGTTCGGCGATGGCATAAAGGGAGTCTCGAACTTTTTAGTGGCACAGAGGCAGACACCATCTTTTTTAATGGCACACAGGTAAAGACCTCTCAGATTGTTCATTAATGTGGGAAGTCTAAGCTTGCTTTACATTGCTACACATTTTGAGTTGCAGCATGGCAAAGGAGCAGGGGAGCATATATCCTAAAATAAAATTACTGTGTCTAAACGAATGCCATCAAATAAGTACCACCAATGCTCTCAATTCCCAAGTCCCATTTTCGTGCTTACAAAAGATGCCCAGCTGGAAAGCAGCTAAGATAACAGTTTATAACAAGTACTACCATAGTTGCAGGATAATGAGAAATCACAAGTGCAACTGTTGAAGAGCTCCACGTCACCGATGATATAATTAATCGAAAATTCAAAAATGGATCAAGGAAAATGCCGCTTTTGTTGTTTACCGTTCTGTTATTGATTATAACGTCTGTCCTCAGTAATTCCGTTAATGCATTCAAGAGCTATATATAGCTTGCAGAAACTTATCTGGCACTATGGCTGAAATGAGAATACAGCTGTGCATAACAATAGAACGCTACGCAAGTGAAGAATACGGCTGTGCATAACAATAGAATGCAAGTGACGTGCTGAGTATCTTCTAACGAAATTGTAACGGAAAAGCTCTGGACCTTTTCTTTCTGTAGGAGGGCTATGCAAAGATTCATCATGCTTTCTACCTCAACCACCATCTTTGAACAGCTGAAATGGGTGTGTTGAGGAACGGTGCGTAGCGATGGATGTAGGGATTTACGGCCCGGCCTATTCTCGCCCATGCGCTCTGGTGATAGCCAGATGTTACGGGTGCATGGTACATCAGCTTCAATAGCTGCACAAAAAGAATGTGTATGATAAGGTTAGCTAGATAATAATGCATCACTTGAAAACCTAATAGGTTTGGTTAGAAATAAGCATTCAGATTCAACAAAAAGTGCAGTGCCTGAGCTATCATATAATAGTATTAAAGTAATGCCAGTTGCTTATGTAGGCACTTCTCTGCAAGATATCAAGGATTGCAAGTTTTAACAGTGAATGAGGAGATCCAAGTCACACTGCCTTGTTAGTGCAATCAATTGAATGTTAAAAAAAAAATCAACCAATCATGTTCCTGTGTTCTCCCCGTTTGCTAAAAGAAGAAACAATGAAGATTGACGAAAAAGCAATTGCTTTATGGGAGCAGGTTAACTCACATGGAAGTACATGAAAGTCTGAATTATGTTGCGTCTCCACCTGCATGACCAAATGTGTAGAACATATTGCATAAGTTGACAGTTGACACACAACAACCTAATTGAATTGATTCATTCAAAAGTGAATCCACGTACGAGAAAAGAGATACGATCATAAGGAAACCCAGAGTAATTTCAGCATTTGAACAAAGGAGGCTGAGTGTTGTGTTGTTTGTTTCTACCCACAGACAAGGCTCCTCCAAATACTTCCTGAATAAGAAGTACACAAGAAATCAGTAAAGGCACAGATACAAGCAAAGGTCAAAGCTGCCTTATAAGAAAAAACGAATTGTTAAGTAGCATGCCCTGAAGATAATAAAACAAAGAACCGTGTTCGAATTTACTTGCCTGTACAAAGAGGAGCGTGCAAAGTTACGCCTTAGGAATCTAGCAACATGATCAAGTGCCCAGCAAAGCACAGGAAGAAGAGCAACTGCAACAATAGAAAAATGAAACAGCTAAGGACAAAAGAGATGAAGCTCACAAATTTGAAGGAAAGAGGAAAGACAGCTTACTTTTATAGTGCACATTAGATGTGAACATCATAAGGGAGAACATCAAATGAACAAAGTCCTTGGCTACAATTATAGATTGCAACCAAGGCTGAATTGCAGCCATGTTCCATGCTCTTGGTTTCTACAAGCAGAAAGGGGGGAACCGATAGGTAGTGGAAAATTAGCACAGACAAAACTAGACAAAGAAAGGCGTATTCCAGGTTATTCACATAGAAACACTTACCCCATAGGTGACATAAAGAGAATATGCTGAGGAGCATATTGTTCCTAGTAATGAGAGTCTATAGGCTTTGCTTGCAATATGTTTTGGTAGAATTGGCAATATTCCAAGACTAGCAACTACCAGTACCTACAAAATCAGAGCTCACAAAACTATATTATTCCACTCCAACATGTAGGATAGTACCAGCATCAACTAACAGATAATGATGGTTACAATATATAAGGGATAGAACAAGAAATGTCACAAAAAATAATTATGCAATCTTAAGCCAGGGTAAAGCAGTCAGCTGATCCAGCTATGGATCACATAATTCAACAAGGGGAATTTCATGGTCATATATATATGTCAGTGGTTGAGACTCGAAAAATATGAGAGAAATCCCAAGGCCAGAATACAAAGAATGGTAATTGCAAAAGTGAAATAAATAATATGGATAGAATATCATAACATAATAAGATGCATTTTCTCCCACGGGTACTAGATCATACATATCACAGTTTATCTCTAAAGGGGAAGGTATATAATGGCATACCCAGGCATTGATAGAGAAATGTATAGTCCGCCCATCCAACCATAAAGAATTTGCAGTCCTTTCCGTTTGTGATGGTTGGGAGGCAGCAGTTGATCTTGCACTTGATCCTACAAAGAAATAATAATAATAATACTGGTGTGAAAGCATCAAGGTAGGAATCCATCTTTGTTCAAATTGTCATTACTAATTAAACAATTAAGAACCTGGGCTTTTTAGACAAGGGGAAGAATTGTATTGAAGACCATCTTACTATGAAGTAGGCAAACGTTAAAGGGCATTGAAAAATAAAAATGAAGACACAAGAACCTGAAACAGCAATACCAGAACAGGCAGTTCACCGTACCTGAGTCACGAGCTCTGACATTCTCATTGGATGGTGTTGCTGAAGACCTTGCTGCTGGTTTGGTGGATTGACTTGAACTTGTGGAAGACATTGGCTCAACAATCAAATCAGGATCCTGGAATGTGAAGGAACAACAATTTCACTACTGTTCTGTCTTGAATCTTTTACTTTCCTCTGACTTTCGAAATTGAGAAGGCCAATTGCAAACAACATTCTTTTTTTGTGAGTTGTGACATTAATAAAATAAACTATAATCAGACTGTGCATAAAGTCACAGCAGTAAGGTCACCATCAACCAAGTGGAAAACATCAAGCAAATAATAAATCAGGTTTAGTAGAAGGGCTAGTATATAACAAATCCAGGTATTTGTGCGGCAGCAAGATGAAAGTGATGGGATGAGGTGTGAGGAAGTCAAAGCACCACAGCCTTTGATCCAATTCACCATTCACAACTTTTTTGTTTTCATTTCACATCTACATGCTACCATAACACAAGCTAAATGAAGAAACTTGTCTGAAACAAATGCTACCATAACACAAGCTAACTGAAGAAACTTGTCTGAAACAAATATTGGCTCGGAAAGGAAGCCCTATCCAATAGAAGAAATATACCATCGCTAGCACATCCTAGAAGTCACAAGATTGTTTACAAATTTTCTTGATGTCACTAGTAATAACTATATTTTTGCTTCAAGGTTATTGATTCGTATCGTTGGCAAACATTCCCTAATTGAAAGCCAACAAAAAATGTTTGGTCTAAAAATTTAACCTCATCATATGTTTTCTGCTTTTACATGTATTGATCTGGCGCAAACAACAACCATCTTCATCCACAGCACCAAGACATAAACATGACCAAGTAAAGCACACTCAATTTCCTTACACAATCATTGCAATACGGTATAAAAACTGCAGCTACACCAAATCTAAGAGTGCAAAAATAGTAAAATTCAATATCTTATCAACTCCATGGAACCAAAGACAATGAAATACCGAGCACGATGACAACGATGACGATGACGACCTCGTGCACCCCATAAACTCAATTTGATATTTCGACACCATAGATACAATTTTACAGTCTAAACTAAGCAGCTCTTTCTAGCATCATCAAGTACAAGCCATCATCAACCTTTTTCGTCGCGACACCTAATTTTCTCCGACACTAGTACCTGCCTACCAACACCGAGACAAACAGATCGAACTAACTGCAGCACGAGATGCCGAGATGCATCCATAATTTTCGCACATCACCAAGACGAGAGCCGAGAGCCGTAACCAATCCAATCAGGCACGGAAGAAGCGGAGGCGGGCGGGCGGGGGGCTTACGATGTACCGCTGGTAGAACTTGCGCTTGAAGTGGTCGACGACGTCGGGGCGGGAGGCGAGGTGAGGCGGCACGAGGACGTTGGACCAGTACCCCGCCCACCGCGAGTCGTTCTCGTAGTCGTACGCCGCGGCCCCGATCCGCTTCAGCCTCTGCGGATCTCCGCCGCCCCCGCCGCCGCCGGTGCTCCCCTCCCCATCCCCCATCGCCGCCGGTGCTCGCCTCCGCCTCCCCCCTCGCTGCCGCTGGGGTACGGGACTCCTCCGGGTTCGTTCGAGAGAGTCGCGTCGCGTCTCGAGACGAAGAGGGAGATGAGATGACACACTACTGTTGGGAAGATTTTTTTTTCTTTTCCTTTTTCTTTTTTTCGGTTGGCCAACCAAACGAGCGAAAAGTCCACCAACACTTAATAAAATGCTGATGTGTCGTATGCTGATTGGATTTTGATTCTTTTTCTACCAACTTTTTCGACTAATTAATAAATTAGATAGTTAGTTGATTGAAATATATGGTATTAAAAATTTTATAAAAAGAATCCTATATACCTATAAAGTTTATCCCCCACTAAGTGTAGTTAATGCTAATTCTCTCTTCTCTCGTGACACCACATCAACTCGATTATTTTTATTCTTTGGATGATTCATCAAGGGTGTAAATTGCATCTCTTCACGTCACCTTTAGCCTTTAGATGATTCATCAAGAGTGTAAATTGCATTTCTTCACTCCAAAAGACACCATATAATCCAATCATTTATAAACTTTGGATAATTTATAAAGGTACAAAAATACATAAATACATGGAAAAAAATCGTAAATAGGTAAGAAAGAAAATTTTAGAACTTATACTATATTATCACATAATTCTCCCACAGCAACGCGCGGGGTACCCATCTAGTTAGTCCATATAGCACTGCTCTTTTTGCATTTGATTATTTTTGTGGCTTTCTTTGTTAATAAGGGGTGCTCGTATTAATGGTTTTGTAATTGTGTTGCAACTACTTCCTCTATTTTATATTATATAAGTCATTTTGACTTTTTTCTAATCAAACTTTCTTAAATTTAACTAAGTTAATAGAAAAAAATCACAACATTTAAACATCAAATTAGTTTTCATTAAATCTATGATTGAATATGTTTTGATACTAGTAATATGTTTATTTTGTGTTAAAAATGCTACTATATTTTTCTACAAGCTTAATCAAACGTAAATAAATTTGACTAGAAAAAAATCAAAACAACTAATAATATGAAACGGACGGAGTATATTACTAGGAGATTGGCTTTTTATGGGACAGAGTGAGTATCGGATATGATACATCCTTATACTAAGATGTTGTTTTTCTTGATGGGGTAGAGGGAGTAAAGGTTCATAATCTAAATCGCATTATTTCCAAGATGACGTTATGCTTCACTCAACTTTAAAGAAGTATTTTATATCGGATAAAACTTTTATATGACTCTTAGTAACACATTCTTCTTGTCTCGACTGATCTATCCTATCTAAATTTAGCAATGCAAAATTTTCTACTCCTTCCTTTTTTAAATAAATAACGTCGTTGATTTTTAAACGCACGTTTGAACATTCATCTTATTCAAAAATTCCGTACAAATACTTAAATCATGATTAAAGTATCTTTTAATAATAAAACATCACACAACAAAATAAATGATAATTACGTATAAATTTTTTTAGTAAAAAAAAGTTAAATACATGTCTAAAAATTAACGGTATTATCTATTTAGAAATGGAGGGAGTAGAAAATTCCGCATTACCAAATCCAGGTAGTGGTCGTCGTGCTTCGTACCAAATTCCCAGGACCAAACTTACCTGTCAAATCAATTCCACACGTGCTCGATCCAAAAATGTCAACTTGTCGAGTGCAGGGTATAATATTGGCAACCTCTGCAAGAGCGCTGACCAACCAACCAGTCCATCGATGCAAGATGTGTGCACATCGCAGTGTCCCAATCCCACAGAGAGGAGCCTCCGCGCACTGCCAGGTGCCGCGCACCATGGTGCGTTCGCAGCAGATCCATCGTTTGTTTGTCCCAACGAAGAAAAGGCTTTTCTGTTGCATCTCATCACATGCAAGCAACTGTACTGCCACCACTGCATATCCCACACACAGATAATATAACCATCATGCATTCTACGCTTAAGTACTCCAGCTACTGCTATGACCTAATCACCTAACAGCCACCTTTCTAAGGATCTAAGTTGAATTCGATCAGTTTAAAGTAAGAAAAGGCATTGTACTATATGCCGTGGGTGTTTTCAGCTGTTTGGATGTGCATTGGTGGGCGGTCTCGGTGATGGCTTCATTATAAGTCTAGCAACAACTGGTTATGCATAGGTGCGGATAGTGCGGTACTAGCTATTTAGCCTGTGCAGGCATTGTCGTGTTGTGCAGGATAGTGTTGTTTCGTTGGGTAGTCCTATTTCTAATGACGGAGGACGAAAAAAATTTAGGTGTGACCAAGTACCCAGTAGATAGCAAATAGAATGATGAAAAACAATTTATACTATAAAATTTACATAATTTGTCCCTGTTCATGCCTACTTATACTACAATTTTAATATCACCATACTATCTAATATGCATTTACAAAATTTGTTAAAGACCATGACAAGAAAAAACTTACATAACACTCGTAAGGCTAACTAATGAGTCTAAGAAGCATGATATATTTTACAAATGATCCATTTTTTTAGATAATGGAATATAATATCCCGGCCTTTACTCAAAAGAGTTACAGCCAATTATTACATAGTAGTTTTCATGAACATAGTGTAAATCTAAATGAATAGAACACACCGAAGTGAAAAACAAAGAAACCAGCCTAACGTAAGGAGGTCACAATTATTGAAGTCTATTTGTAAATCTCCAACCATAATTGGCAAAAAGTTGCATAACCGTGGTCTCCAACTTTCGGCATGCAACTTTCAGAAACTCTTCATCTTCATCACACTTTTGTAGTTGTGCCCAAAACCGGAGCTAATGAGTTGCCCTAAAAATAACCTGCATATAGGAAAATGATGGTGATCTGTCAAAAACCATATCATTCCTACTCAGCCATATTGCCTAACAAATGGCAGAATCTCCAACAAGTATCAGTTTACTCATTTTCTTATCAACTCCCAAAAGCCACCCATTAAAAATACGAGATATGCTAACTGGAAGATTAAAACCAAAAGAGAACTGAACTGCTCTCCATAGAAACTTCGCAAAATGACAATCCATAAAGAGATATTGAATAGTCTCATTCTTCAAACAAAAAGAACACCTCAAGCTGCCATTCCAGTTACGCCTTGCCAAATTATCCTTAGTTAACACAACCCCTTTAAGCAGGTACAACATGAAAATTTTAATCTTAAGTGGCAACTTAAGCTTCCAAATACACTTGTTTCTCTCGATATAGCCATTATTAATTAAAGTACATAGACCTCACCGAGAACAAACCATTCTGATGGAAATTCCATCTAAAACTATCAGACGAATCATTCAACTGAATATGTACTATAGAGGCACAAAACTCATGCCAACAAACAAGATTCTGACCAACTAAAGCTCTCCTAAAAGAAACATTAAGCGGAACAGATCCCATAACAGTGGCAATAGAATTAAGATGTTTTCCTCTGAACAATTGCGTACAAAGATGGATATTTATCCTTAAAAGACAAGTAACCAATCCATCTATCTTCCCAAAATCTAATTTGTTCCCCATTATTGACAATCCAAGAACCCATATTTAAGAAAGTACTTTTGACATTCATAAGACTAGACCAAAAATGGGAATCACCTTGTTTCTTGTCAACTTGGGTTATAGATTTATTATAAAGATATTTCCTCTTCAATAAATCATGCCAAACCCCTTCCTCATTAATTAACTTAAACAACGATTTACTTAAAAGACATTTATTTTGTATATCCAAATTATGAAGCCCAAGACCCCCCTGGTCCTTGGGTTGACAAACAACATCCCACCTAGTGAGCCTGTATTTTTTCTTATGGCCATCCCCTTGCCAAAAAAACCGCAATCTATAATAATCAATTTAACGAAGAACCCCTTTCGGCACCTCAAAAAAAGATATCATAAACATGGCTAAACTTGATAGAACAGAATTAATCAACACCAGTCTACCACCAACAGATAAATGCTTGCCTTTCCAACTACTAAACTTTTTCTCAATTCTCTCTTCAATAAGTTTCCAATCTTTATTAGAAAGCTTCCTAAAATGCATCGGAATTCCAAGATATTTAAAAGGAAAGGTACCGAACTTACAACCAAAAATATCATAATATTGTTCATAACATTCCTTTGCCTGACCAAAGCAAAATAATTCACTCTTGTGAAAATTTATTTTTAGGCCAGATAACTTTTCAAATACCGATAAAATCAGTTTCAAATTCTTTGCCTGTTGCAAGTCATGCTCCAAAAAGATGATAGTATCATCTGCGTATTGCAAGATAGACAAACCATCATCAACAAGATGAGGAATAACCCCATTCAAGAGTCCCGCTTCTTTAGCCCTCTTAATCAATAGAGTAAGCATGTCAGCTACTATATTAAAAAGAGCAGGAGATAAAGGATCCCCTTGACCTTTGTAAGTTTGAAAACAATTAACAATTTGATCGTTAACTTTTATACCAACATGACCACCTTGAACAAAAGAAGCTATCCACTCACCATCTAGGAGAAAAGCCTTTCATTCTCAAAGTTTGTTGTACAAAAGGCCATTTAACTTTATCATAAGCTTTCTCAAAATCAATCTTAAAAATTACACCACTTTTATCTTTGCGATGTAATTCATGTAAAGTCTCATGTAAAATAACTACCCCTTCCATAATATTTCTCCTAGGAATGAACGCTGTTTGAGTAGGACTAATTACCTTTTGAGAGACATCCATTATTCTATTTGTAGCAACTTTGGTAAAAATCTTAAAGCTAACATTAAGTAGGCATATAGGTCTATACTGTTGAATCTTTAAAGCCTCAGCACACTTAGGCAAAAGAATGATAGTACCAAAGTTAAGCAAATATAAAGGCAAACTCCCAGAATGAAAGTCCTTAAACAGTTCTAAAAGGTCAAATTTAATGACATTCCAGAAAACTTGGTAAAACTCAGCAGGAAATCCATCTGGACCCGGAGTTTTGTTATGTTCCATTTGGAAAATAGCATCCTTAACCTCATTTTCAGAAAATTCCTTAGTTAAGGCTTCATTCTCTAAATATGAAACTTGAGGAATGTCAGCAACATAATTCTCATCAAACTGAAGGTCAGACTCATCAGGAGAGCCAAAAGGACCTTTATAACAAGAGCAAAT